CCTGTGTTGGGCCTGGTACCGACGGTCTCGGCAGTACAAGCAAATGTGGAATGAATATAGGGGGGAACATAGGAGAGATCGGGGACGGTATGCAAGGTGTACCTGGCGCCCACCGCAGTGGGATGCAGGCAGGTCAACACGTTGAAGCGCAAGCAACCACGGGGGAACAGTGTGCAAGGCGTACCCGCAATACCTGGCTCAGGGCGGAAGCATCGAGGGGCAGACTGATGCACGGGGGATGAGGAGAGAGGACAGAGGGATTGCATGGGAGGTGTGCCCGGCGTCAAGGAGTTGCAGAGTGGGAGGCAAGCACGAGGGAGACGAGTCGGCGCTCAAGCGGTTACTCGCGTGTGAAAGGAAGAGTGAGAGAGAAGGGGACTGCACAGCGGGAGCGAGAGACTGCGGGTGAGAGAGAGAGTGACTGTGCAGTGAGTGAGAGAGTGAGAGAGTGAGAGACTGCACAGATAGAGAGAGAGTGTGCGCAGTGAGAGAGAGGGAATGCACTCATTAAGAAAGACAGTAAGTAAGAGAGAGAGAGAGGAAAAAAGGATCCTGTAGTGAACTAGCTGATGAGAAAGAGAGGGAGGAAGCAAAGTGGGAGAAAGCAAATACAGTTGGCTCGCCGAGTGAGGGAACACTGATTAGTAATTACCTTTGAAAACAACAGCTGCTAATCACACAACTGGCGTGCCAAGTGCCGGTCCACTAATTACCTCTGAATATAACAGTTGCTGATCACACAGCTGGCTCACGAAGTGCGGATGCATTTATTACTTCTGAACTCAAATACAACTGCTGATCACACAGTTGGCTCTTCGAGTGCTGGTGCACAAATTACTTCTGAACTCAAATATAGTTGTTGTCAATGCGAGCTCACGGGGTCAAGCTATGGACGAAGGGATATGGAAAATGGACAACGAGTGCACAGACTGAGAGAGAGAAGAGAGAAAGAAGAGAGAAGAAAGAGAGAGAGAGAGAGAGAGAAAGAGAGAGAGTGAGGGACAGCGCTGAGAGTGAGGGACTGCGCCGAGAGAGAGAGAAAGAGAGAGAGTGAGGGACAGCGCTGAGAATGAGGGATTGCACTGAGAGTGAGGGACTGCGCTGAGAGAGAGAGAGAGAGAGAGAGAGAGAGAGAGAGAGAGTGCACAGACTGGGGGATGGTGAGGGTGCGCAGACTGAGGGAAAGTGAGAGATAGAGAAAGGGAGAGAAAGGGGGAGAGAGA